TTAAAAGTAAAAGAAGGGAAGAAAAACCAAGCCAACCCCCCAACACCCAAAAATAAAAAAGTGTTTATTTGAAAGATTAGTAGTAGTTGGAGACGAATTTCAAGTCTATATTCTACGCGATATGTCCTAGGTTCAATTCATGACACTAGTGAATCACACAATAATAGTCAGAGAAAGATTGAAATGTCTTTATAAGTCTTTCTGACTCCTAAAAAGATTGACTGACATAATAAAATTATCAACGAATCTCCCTTATAAATAAAAAAATTATTAGAGTAATGGAAAACATGATTGGATTATAGAAGGAGGAGGAAGTAGAGAAAGGCATTTTCCACTGAACAATATATTTTAATTAAAAAAACAATAATTGCAGGCTTTGACGATTCTCTCTTTTCTCCTTGTAACTCTCTTTAACACCCACACGCAACCTCCTTTGACCCTCACCCTAAACAAAAACAATACCTAAAGAAACTAATTAATTAATTAAAAAGATAAAGAATTAAATAGAAGAAAAAAAACACAGCCGCAATTTGTCCTACGAAACCCAACTCCAACAATTCCTTCCAATATTTTTTTATAATTTATTTTTACAAGTGGGCTGAGAATCGCATTTTGCTTCATTTGCTTGTGATATTCTCTTTACTTTTATATTTTTCTGATTAACTGGATATAGTTTTTCTTATTACAAAAAGCTCCTTTTTTATTTTATAATTCTGCCCACAAATTGTTTAAATTTTGTGATAAAGAGGCTTCCGTTCTCCCTACGGAGTCAGACCTCTCTTTCATTTGTCAATCTTTGAGGCTCCGGTACACTCCAGTTTTGATTATTCCAAAACTACCTCTGGAGAGTCCTGTTTACTACAATTCTGCCACTGTCAAGTTCAACTACAACCTCTAACTAAAGGGTTATAGAGTAAATCTATGGGTAGAAACCACCTAGTCGATTGGAGCTGCGACTTTGATTTGGGTTTTTGTCTCGAAGAACTTCTTGTTTGGATTGGTGATCTTTTATCTGATGATATTTTAAGAGTTGTTAGGAACCGTTCAGTTTGTACTTCTTAAAAATATAGTGCTTTTTGAGATGTTCGCTCCAGATTACCAAAAAAAAAATCTATGGGTAGAAAGAGAAGAGTGTCTTTTCCAGAAAAGAGATTGTTTAGATGATTTCTATCAAATCTTCATCTGATCGAAAATAGTGAGACAAGAAGATTGAGGAAATCTTGAAATGGGTTTTTGATTGAAGGTGGCATTTTTGTCAGTTACCCTAAATCCGACGTGGTTGGCCGTCGTTTTGGTGGCAAGTAGGTCCCTGAACTCTCACCCACCCCAACGAGCCACGAGCCACAAGCCACGAGCCATATCATCATCTCAATTACCATAATACCCTTCCAAAGTTCAACCCTTAACTTTCCTTTTTATCCTAAACTAAAATAAATTCCAAAGGTAGTGGGGCAACATGGGCCCAATAAGCATTATCCATCCCTCCAACCGCAAGGAGCATCTTTTTTCATGTGTTATACGAAATATTCAAGTTAGCTTTACACGCATCCCTAATTCCCTATGCGTGCACCCTACAATGTACAATCCCATATAACAAATATATCTATCACTCAATTTTTGAAAAGGGGAATAATATGAAAAATCAATTTCCAAAGATTCCATGCATAATATGATTTTTTTTTATAAGTCAATTATTCGTGGTTTGATCTATTTTTGCAAGTAACTTAGAGTCTGTTTGTTACTTTACTTGAATCTAACTTTTTAAACTCAAAAATAATTTTCAAGTTTTAGGCCTTAAAAACTTGTTTGGTATGACTATTTTCAAACTGAACTCAGACTAATTAAAAAATAGTCTATTATCTAAAAACACAAAAAGTGAGATTTTTGAGTTTTTAAACTTAAACTCACTCATTTCTTTCTCTCCCTCCTCCCCTCTCACTCCAAATCTATCTCTCTTTTCTGCTTTCTCTCTCCCCCTCCTCTTTTTTCTTTTACCTTTTTCGTCTCTCCTCCAATCCGCTCTCTTCATTCTCTCAGTTCTTTCTCTCATTCATCTTCATCTCTATCTCCTCCGATCTTCTCACTTCTTTCTCTTTTCTCCAATCATCTCTTACTTTCTTTCCTCCTCTCTCCTCTTTCTTTCTCGACCCCCTTTTTAAGGATCTTTTTGTCTAGTTTAAGTTGTAAAATTTAAAATTTTTAAATCGCATACCAAACAAGTTTTTGAGTCTTAAAGAAAATTGTTTTCAAGAAAAATTCTTAAAAAATGTTTTGAGAAATTATAAAAAATTTCAAATAGGATACCAAACAAGCCCTTAGTTAGCTGAATATATTATGCCCATATTTATATCACCAATCAAATATTTGGAACATTATTTTAATCCATCTATTTTAGTTAAGATATCAAAATTCAAAAGATTACTAGCTTTGATATTAGTAATGCAAAATTAAGAAATGCTAAGTGGACTCTCCCAAAAGTAGAAACGTCAATGTCCGTATCAACTTTATAAAACATTGTGCGAAAATCATGAGGTCACATAAAATCTATATAAAGTCTCACTCTTGAGAGAGTTCCCTTATTAGTGAAATGCTACCGTATCACCTAAAAAAAATGTAACAAAAGAGATTGTTTGAAACACTTCTGAGTGCTCATTAAAGTATTGGTTAACCTAAAAAAATAAAGAGTAATGTTAAGGAGATTATCTTAAAGTGGAACTGTATATGGATTATCCCACATTTTGGACACAATATGTTATAATGTTGGCACGAGAATTATGCCAGAAACATTAGGTGGCCGATAATCCATGGAGCGCCTCACTTTTGAGAGAGTCTCTTTATCACAAATCTCTATGAAACAATGGGAAGACGTCCTATTATATTCTTGAGCCGGGTTAAAAAAAAAAAATTCTTGTTGAAAAACCCATTGTCTAACTTGATTAATTGTCCTTTGTTGTTCAAAATGAATGCCTTGAGTTCTCAGCTTATCCCTAGAAGTGGAACTCACAGGAGGGTTGGTATGCAAAGAGAGGTCTACCTTGTAACAGGAGTGAAGAATGACTCGGCCAGGGACCGTTACATTGGATGCTTAAGCATGGGTATTTTGCATCCATTGAGCAAAGACGAGTTGTAATTGTTGTTGTTAAAAATGATTATTACAAATTTAAGATTTTTTTGTCAATGAGACACCAGCGTGTGAATTTAGTTAAATAGTGTTTTGACATGAAGTTGGTAATATTTAACGTTAAGCAAGACATATTAATTAGGAATCTTGACTCTTGAGGTGTCAAATCACCTAATTTTAAGGTCTCCATTGCCATCATACATACTAAACATTTGAAATGCCTAATTATAATTTATAAAAACAAAATATCTTTAATTGTGTAACACGTTAGTAACAAAACTACCTTGAATAAAACTACAAATAAAAGTCCAATATTCTCATTTCTCAACAAGTTCAGGCACTTTTGGTTCTTTCAAATATATTCCGTGGTCCGTACTTTTTTCACTTGCCCAGCGGCTCCTCTGAGAGCACCCAACACTTTTTGTTTCCCTCGCAAATAGCACCATGACGGAGGCTACAACCGTAATTTCACCCCCATTGACTTTAAATCCTTTTAGTCAAGTACACCTGTCAGCATGACGTAACGTGACTTCATCCTTACGAGGCCGTAAACCCTTCGCTGCAGCTACTACCTTACGCCTTTCGTACTAGCTTTGCTCATCAAACTCCGGTAGAAGGACCATAATACCCTTCGAGTATTCCCTCCTAGGGGGTTACCTTGATGTTATTCTAAATCAATCATATGCTGATATTTATTTTAAACTTCGCACATGACGGTGTGTATGCTACATTAGCATATAAGAAGAAAAAAATGTTTGAACTTATTAGATTATGATTTGGAGATGATATATGTTGCTTTTATGCTTCATTTCAACTTTCGGATGTGGGAAATAAATGAATGAAAACATAATTCTTGGGTAGCCATAAAGTGAGTTCACCTGTTTCTAGAGGAAGCCAATGGAATAGCTCGGCCATCTTTTGTTCAGCAATAGGGTGGATGGTGCAATGTCAGGAAGTAGATATTAACCTTCATGCATCTCATTGCAAGTAAGAAGCCAAACATTGTTCGATTCCTAAATGCTATAAAGAAACCTACTTAAAATGGCATTGCTAATGTCGCGGTGTCTTAAATCTATCAACCATTGACTTGCATTTAAGATTTCCTACATATCCATATGTGAATGTTTTGGAGTACAACAACAATGTCATCTGCATAAAACACTTGTAAATCAATCACAAATTGACAATGTGAAAACAATTTTTTGTTTTTCGTGATTCTAAAATAACCTATTGCAAGTAAGGAGGGAATAAGTGGTTAACATACACAATGTGATTGTTTTATGAGAAGACCACAATGCATCTCCCCACCGTCCAAAACATATGCAAGTTTCCAACTTGGAGGGCAAGGTTTAAAATGGCAATTTAGGTAAAATATAAAGCAAAAGCATAATCCAATTAAAATTTGAGATTCGGGAGGGAGGGAAGAGACCCAATAGGGCTTTAACAGCTTCGGTTATTTCCACACACAAAGGTCGAACACCACAAGAAAGATCTCTCTCTCTCTCTCTCTCTCTCTCTTAACGATTTTGGGTTTCGTTTAATTGTCAAAAACTTTAACCTTTTCGCAGAGCCCTCGACGTTTTGTAAAAAGGGGTGTGCTATCCACACACCCCTTTTTACTTATCTCATACATCTTGTTAATTTCTATCATTTGATCTTCTTTAATTCATTCGATCCGACAGCCGAAAATTAAAAGAGTGTGAGAGAAGTAAACAGGGGTGTGTGGATATCACACCCCTTGTAAAAATTGTGTCAAAGGAAAAGGAGATTGAGTCTTGTATACGCCAACAAATGGGTCGTCCTCTTCTCTCTCTATCCACCCTGTCTCTCTCTCCTCGCATTGTCTCTAACACCCAACTATAAAAGAAGCCACACTCTCTCCTTGAAACCCCCCCCCCCATCCACCTCTCCACGCTTTTATTTCCATTGGGACTCTTCTTTCCTTCTTGTTCTTGTTCCCTCTTGTTCTTGTCTAATCTCCTACTTTGTTTGTATTATCCAATCCCCAACGGACTATAAGACCTTGTCACGACTGTGTTTGCTTAGGATTAGATTTCTCAGTTCGGATTGGACTAAAAGACTAGCTTTTCAGTCCATTGGGATTTTCTCGGACATGGAGAGGATTAGTTTTGTGAAGAATGGTGTGCTGAGATTGCCTCCCGGTTTTCGATTCCACCCGACTGACGAGGAGCTTGTTCTGCAGTACTTGCGGCGCAAGGCTTACTCCTGCCCCTTGCCTGCCTCCATCATCCCGGAGGTCGATGTCTGCAAGGCCGACCCTTGGGATTTGCCAGGTTGGTTTTTCACATTTCCGTACAATTCACTTCTTCAATTGAAGTGATTGTTTTTTTTTCTTTCTATTTTGATTTGGTTTGACCAAGCTACAATGCCAAATACCTACCAATCAAAACCCAAATCGTATTTTAGACGGAAATGGTCTCGAATCTCCCAATTTTCCGGTTCTGCACTCGTTCTGTGAGTGCATAAATTGTAAAGTATTCAGTTTGGAGCGCAGATGGCTTGAAATGGAGCGCGAAATCGCCACTATGAAGAAATTAGATGGAGAATTGAAAGACTCAATTGGTTTGTTTTGTTTTGGTTTAGGTGATTGTGAGCAAGAGAGGTACTTTTTCAGCACTAGGGAGGCCAAGTACCCCAATGGGAACAGATCGAACAGAGCGACCTGCTCCGGTTACTGGAAGGCGACGGGATTGGACAAGCAGATTGTGACTTGCAGGGGCGGCCAAGTCGTGGGGATGAAGAAAACTCTGGTGTTTTATAGAGGAAAGCCTCCCCATGGCACCAGGACCGATTGGATTATGCACGAATACCGCCTTGTTTTGCCCGAAAATCCGGCCTCCATTGCCCCACCGGAAAAGAATTCAACCCAAGTGAGCTTCTTGTTCTACTTAGTCTCGTTTCAATAGGATTAGTAGTTTAATTTCTCAGAGGCCCCGGCTTAAAAGTAACATATTTTAATCTCCGTCACATTATTTATGACGAGACTAAGGCGGTATCTGATTATCTTCAGAGTCCCCAACTTAAATTCACAATTGTCACAATTGTGAAGTAACCCATGTGATTATTTCTTCAATTATGCTCTACAAACCACAAAGAACACATTTTTATTTTTGTTATTTTGCTGTTGCAGAGCCCTGTGGTGCCAATGGACAATTGGGTTCTCTGCCGCATATTTTTGAAGAAAAGGGGAGGCAAAAATGAGGAGGAGCAAGTTCAACAGCCCTCCTTCAATGTTCGAAAACCGAAGAATTTGAGGCCTGTTTTCTACGATTTCATGACGAAAGACAGGGAAAATTTGAGCCTCGCGCCTTGTTCTTCCTCCTCAGGGTCGAGTGGAATCACAGATGTGGTTTCTAGTGAGCAAGTAGACAATGATCACGGAGAAAGCAGTAGTTGCAATAGTTTAGGTTTAATTAGAAGAAAACAGTAGCGGTTTTAGTTAATTAATTTATAATCCCCTTAAATTAGTTCGCTTATGTTCCAGTAATTGGGCTCTTCTGGTTGCTTTATCAGAATAATCATCTGAGAAAAATCCAAGTTTAGGAAGAAAATCGGCGGTAACTTGTAGTCGGTAATTTCGAGAGCAATGGATGGTGTGCCCTTATGTAACCAAATCCCAAATTTTCTAATATCTGATGTCTTTACATTTTATTTCCATTTGTTTGGACCTTATTTTAGCTCTAACAGCGACATGCTCGCATATTTACCACTCTCTATTTTCTCTATTTATTCTGGTTGTTAGAACGATTTGGAGTAACCACATTTGAATATGAATTTTCTTTTACAATTTATAATCTAAAAATTCTAGAACGCTTCGCAACATGAGATGCTCCGAGACATCGTAAAAAAAATGCTCATAATCTGAACATGTTCTTCTCCATATCATGCAGCAGAATTTCTTTATAGAAAGGCATGGTATTTTCAAGGGAATAAGTATTGAGAAGTGACCCAAAGAGGAGTAAAAAGCAAAGTGAAAGTGTAAAAAAATGTAACGTGAGATTTTCCAAGGGAATAATTGTTGTCTTTGCAAAGATCGTCCCCTTCGCACGAGGTTCCATTTCTCCCTTTGTGGAAAGTTAAAAACTCACACTCAAAAGGAACCCAATTCCGAAACATTGTTTTCAAATGGATCGAATCTCCAAGAATTCATCCCAAATCGGCTCTCTCTCTCTCTCTCTCCCCCTCACAAATCTTCAAATGCACTCCAATCTGCATCATGCAAGATTAAATCCCGGAATCTTATTCCCATAAAACAGACATTCTGACCTAGTTTTTCCGCAAATATTTATTGCCATTTTGTACTATTTTTAGTGTCTTACAAGAAACCGAAGTCCCAAGAGAGAAAAACTTGTATAGAGCAGTCATATACTGTCTCTTTCCGATCACTCTCACAAAACTGCCTCTCTATTTCAGTGGTTCCACCATACTCTGCTAAAAAAAAAAAGTCGTACCCAGTGCACAAGGCTCCCGCTTTACGCAGGGTCTGGGAGAGGTGAATGTCGGCTAGCCTTACCCCCATTTATGGAGAGGCTAATCTCGCATATTACGAGAGATGTCATAGTAAAACAACCCTACCAAAATTTCTATAATCAAACAGTCTTATTGAAGTTTCTCACATACGAAAGTGAGTTTGGTGATGTAGGGAAACAGGGTTAACTAAATATTGAATCTAAAGGACCAGTTGGTGAAAGTAGAGAAGGGGAATATAAATACAGTGGAATATTTGCTTGGCAGGGACCAGCTGCAAATTGAAAAGAAAAAATAGGATTTGGCCAGTAGGGAGGGTCTGGGAGGGTCCCAAGTTTTGAAAACTGATCCATCAACCCATCACCTTAAATTTTCTAAAAGCATATGATTTCTTGCACCTTTATTCCTGCGAGTTTACGTAAACGATACCTCTTTTTCTTAATCCAGACAGTGTTATAACTCTGATATGAGTTTTTACTAGACAACAAATTAACCCAGATTAGAGGAAAGCTTTGTCCCACCAATGCAATCCTCCAACCACTCTGCAACATTGACCTGCATTAGTTTTGATAGTTTTATCATTGATTAGCTCCTAATTATTTATCTTTTAATTACAAAATTATATTGACTGCATGTTCTGCACACGTGTCGTGCATGCAAGGGCTACGAGCCTGATGTAATTGACTCCATCATCAATAAAATATCATACATGTTACTCTTACCATCTATTTGTATCATCTCTTTAATAGAAATGAGACCCACAAGCGTTAGGGGCCTACCTCTATTAGACATATGGTATAAATGATTGTACAAATAGGTGATAAGTATAGCAATACTCGTAAAATATTACTGACCATAAAATATTATAAATGAAAGTGCACATAACTATTCATAGTTAATGATAATTACATATAATTCTACGATCATTAATTATTTTCTTCGACATTATCTTATTTATCGTCACGTTTAATATTCTTTGTTATTGTGATGTTGTACTAAGAAAAAAAAAATGGAGTGTAGATGCAACATCTGACCTAAGTTACTAAAAACCGCTAACTTAGTAATCATCTAGAAGTATAAACCCCTCACGCATCTAATTTTTTATTCGGAAGTGCAAAGAGGGAGCTAAAATGAGCTTTAACTCTATGAATCTATCTTCTTTCATTGAAGCTGAAAGGTCAATTTATAAACATGATTAATTGTAAGATTAAGAGACAAAAAATGTAAAAAAATGAAGGAACGAAACCTACAAGGTAGGTTGTTGTCCTATACAAACATTGAGGCATGGATGATGATGATACAAATTACAATAGGTTGGATAGGTTTGAAGAGGATGGGCCACGAACCCATGAGAGAGTGCCAAGTGGACACCAGGTGGACTAAGGACGGCATAAATAATGAGATTAAACCTTTGATTAACACTCTGATTAAAGCATAATTAAGAGAGTAATTTGCCAATTTTAGGAAAATAAAGAAATAAATATATGCCGACCAAAGTTTATCGTGACACTGGTTTTGAATCACCTATTTTGCTTTTGGAGTTCTTCACGTTACTTTTTTCTATATATTTCTTTCGTTTTCATCACACAAAAAAATAAAATAAATTAAAATAAAATAAAATTGTTGTGTGTATGTAAGAGAAAGAGAGAGAGGGGGAAAGGATTGGATTGTGAAATGCTGACTTGGGTTCTCAAATTGTCAATCACGGGGGCAGGCCGTCATGGTAGACTACACACTACAGCCACAAACTGATCAGCTCGTCATGGAACGTGTTCATCAGCACTATAATATTTTGTGAATAATACGCCTCGTCGTAAATAATACGTTTAGTTGAAAACAATTTATATAAGTAGTATTGCATCATGCAATGACACAAAATACTACAGTAACGATATACCGTGTTATAAAAGTTGATCTCACGTTTGAAAGACATACATGAATTGAGGGGATGAAGAAAGGCAATTCTAACATTTTGAAAAACATTACCAAGCAGGCGGGGAATGTATTTAACGTTTGTGTATGTTGACCGGTTCCAGAACCAACCACTTTTATATTACTTTTCATGTTTATGGAGAAAATTAAAGTTTTATTTAGGGGGGTTGCTTAGGATCTATGCAACAAAGACATCTCCAATTTTTATACCACTTCTAATGACATGGTCAAATCAAACACTAATCAAATATTAATCTCCCACATTAAATTAATGCCGTTTGTGAAATTTAAATGGAGGTTCTCAAGAACTCCATGCCAAGTGAGCAAGATGATTATGTACAGTTAAATCTTATTATCGTAAACCTCAACTTAACTTGCATAATTAGGATGGCGGGAAGGGTAAAGCTCATGGTATTCTTGTCACATGCGACGAGATAAACTATACCTGTATCATATATTATAGAGGCATAAGTGAAAAACCGAGTAAACTAAGAAAATCATGTGTAATTAAACCTTCACAATGTATAGTATCCTAACATTCATGTGAGTCGAAGTTCGTTAATTTTTTCGATAAATTTTGGTTCGGTTTCAGTATTTAGTTCCGAAAATTCCAACCCTGAGCTAAAAAGGAATCCAATGCTTGAGAATCTCATGAGGGTGGGTTGGATTTTTTTTTTTTTTTTTGCTATATTTAATGCATTTAAGAAGTGGGTAGGTGCCCTATGGCATAAGGAAACACCTCCCCACACGGCAGCTATTTCCCACAGCTCACCCCTCCAACAGGTTTAGAAAGCTAATACCAACTGTTGCACAAGATGTAAAATTATGTTGCCTAATTCAATTAAATGGGGGTCGATCATACATTTTAGGCCTTCTGAAAAATGCATGCGGAAAAAAACACCCCTACTAAAGTTTTTCTCCCCAAAAGATTTTCCAACGGGAAGTAATTTCTCCACACCCCTCCCCTGCGCTCATATTAGAAGAAGAAATAAACATGGATGTGCAAAAAAACCAGGACGGGCAAAAATTATTTCTCTTTCCTAAAGCATTGAAGGATTTAAGGCTAGTTTGATATTGTTGTGCTTTGAAAAAAAACTGCTTCTGCTGTGCTGTGAGAATAAGAGGCTGTGAAATAAAGTTGTAGAGTGTTTGGTAAACTTTTTTGTAAAAATGCTTTTGAAAAAAAAGCAATATTATAGTGTTTGGTAAACTTTTATGTAAAACAGATGTGAAAAAAAACCATTTTTTCTAAGCTGGGTTTTGCAGCTTCTTGTTTTTGGCTTTTTTTACCCAAAACTATGAAAAAAAAGCTAAAACTGAATGTTTACCAAACACAAAAGCTTTTTTTCATACCAGCTTTTTTTTAAGGGAACTTTAACGAAAAGTACATGGTATTGTTCACTTTAACAAAAAAACCACATTTTTACACTAAAAAGTCAATCCTGGTACTATTCACTTTACCCTTTATTTTATCCTTATCATTAAAACTCAAAGTTTTCAATTCATTTTCATTAGTTTTCTTTTTTTTTTAATCACCTCAATCCCAAACTGCACCTTAGAGGTGATGAGCTCATTGACAAGCAATAAGGAACGGCAACAACCTCCATGATGGCTTACTAATTTCCTACCTTTGCTTTTTCCCTGTGCTAAAAGGTGATTAATTTTCCATCTTTTTTGCAGTACAAAGTGAGAGATTTCAACATCCACAGATGCAATAACTTGTCAAAAGTATTAAATTTCCCTGATGCATAAATCTTATATAAATATAAGACAAGGACGTAGATATGAGGTTGAACACTAACAAGATTTTCCGTGGAGGAGCATAAAATCTTTGCATAAATCATATACGGTTGCGTGTAACACCATGGCCTCAAGCATCTCTCTTCATACTCTACGAGTTAATAGCGACATATGCAGGCAATGAAAAATTGACTAATTTATTAAAGTTTTCCGGCGTCAAAGTCGGTATCAGATCCTCTAGAAGGGGTTGGGAAGGAGAAGGAAGTTTTCAACTCATCTTTCGGCGGTTTTGGTGTTCACATTTGATAAGAAGATAGATCAGTAATCTTATAAACTACACATGGACCACACAAGATTCTAACAAAAGTCAGTATTATCCTATGTTTGGGAGTGCAAAGATTCCCTATTAAAAAGATAATCTAATTCCAACAGCCCTTCAAACCAAGATGAGACTTTTCATGAGCAAAGATAACTTGCTGATGGAATTTCATTAAACGATCCCTTTTGACTATAAAACT